GAACTCTGGATAGTGAATATCACTCTCGACCAATCGGGGGACAGTGTATCAACTCTCCTGGTTTGCCTCTGGTGATCCCTTGGGGTTTGGGGGAGAGGGTGGCTTTACAAATAACCATCCCTAATCTCCTAGTATAAACTGGCTTCAAGAAAAAAAGGAAAGCAATTATTTGATAGGGAAACTCTACTCTGTACATGCGAGAGCAGCAGACGAGAGGGTGATTATGTACACCTGTCCTTTCTATTCTGCCACCTTAACTCTGGAGTTTATCTCTTGCCTGAATTTCTGTAATAACTCCTAACTGTTCTCCCTGCCTCTAATCTCTCTCCTTTCAATTTATTCTCCATTCTAACCCTAAAACTATCTTTTTAACAGCAGGCTACAGTAATGCCAGCTCCCTAAGAACCTTCACGGGTTCCCCGAACCTAGAGGATGAAGTCCAAATGTCTCAGCATGGCATCTAACCTGACCCCAGCCTGCCTTTCAAAATCATGTATCCACAAACCAACCACGACCAAAAACTCACAGCTTCACATTTGCCCATGCCCGCACCTTTGTACACAATTATTTTTTTTTGTCTCCCTAGAAACTTTCCTCCTCCCCAAACAAAATTAAAAAAAAAAAAAAAAGTTAAAATATCCTTATGCTTAAAAAAAATCCTATTTACACTTCAAGGTCCTGCTCCAATACAGGAAGGCTTCCTGCAGCTGCTCAGATCTCTCCTTTGTGTGCGCATCGTACTGGGTACCTTAGAACACGCACCACATTCTGCCCTACTTGTTATTTATGCTGCTTCTTTTCCCTACGTTTTATTTTATAAGGCCCTTGAAGGCAAGTACCATATCTTTTGTTCAGTGACCGGAGAAGCCCACAATGGGGGAAGAGAGGTAGATGGAGATAAAGAGGAGAACTGAGAAAGCAGTGGAACACATGGTCAGGAGGGAGAGTTCAGTTTTAAAGATGTTTTCTTAGTCATCCAGAATCTTTTGGCTAAAAACAGATCCTTCAAATACCTGACACATGTCTTCCTAGGACAATCCTGAGAGACTGAAGTGATGTAAAAAAAAAAAAAAAAAAAAAAAAATTAATGTTTTGCCAACACTATCTGGCTCATTTTCTTCTTGCTTTCTGTGTGTCTCTAGTAAGTCACCTTCCTATACCTCATCCCTGTGATAAGGGTGCCCTCACACGTAGGTCACTAACCCTGAACCGGGGCGCAAGTTCCTGTCGAGTGCTTTGACATTCCCCTCTTTGGGTGCGAGTCATCAAACTTCTGTCTGTGGATTCCTAACGCAACCAAACGCCTAAGCTTTTAGGAGAAACTGGATCAATATTCCAAGAGAAATGACCTTTGTGATAGGAAAAGTTTCTGAAACGTACAGAAGCAGGATGCCAGTTATCCCCAGTGTGCCCCAAAGCTGGTTCATTTGTCCTGCTTCCTTCCCCCACTCACAGAGAAGTACTCCTGCCCCAGAGAAATCGCGGCGGCCCTCTGCGGACACTCCTGGCCTCGTCCTTTACTCCGGGCTGGCCCAGCTGTCTTCGGCAAGATGGAGATAGAACTGGCTCTAGATAAGCATGTCACTCGATCCTTTCCCAAAAAAGCAGGCCAGCCAGCTTTTTTCCCTGGGATAGCAGGAATAGTTTCAGTTGCTGCCTAACTCTTCCTGGGGGCAGGACACAGAAACGCACTTTAAATCCAGCTCAACAAAGCGGCCCTCTGTTGCCGCAGATACGCGGGCCATCACGCCTGGCAAGCGCTCTGCTGTAACTCCCTAGACCACCTCACTCAGGTTACTCCCTCCCTTACTCCAAAAATCTTCTCTGCCTCTATTTCTCCCTCAGATGAGAAACCCAGATCAAGGGAAGAAGTCACCTGATAGAAACAAACAATGCCAGACTGCACCAACCGACTGTGTACTGCCCAAAAGAAAGCTTTTTGTGCGGTTCCCTATTTATTATCCTTGAAAAAGTAAGTGATGCCAAATCACAAAAACCTGTAGTTCTTTGCTTCCCATTTCCTTACGGCTATTACGTTTACAACTTTATTTAGAAATAGCTGCCTTCACAGCTTTTGTGGTTCCCTAACTCTTCGACACGAGGGTTTAACAAGAAACCCTTAAAATGGAGCTGAGTAGACACCAAACACTCAAAAATCCAAATTACCTAGCCTGGTAGAGGTTGATGTTCTGCATTAAATACGAACAGAAAGTACCAATTTTGTACTCTGATTATGCCTGCCAAAGGACTGAGTCGAATAAACACATAGATATGATAGATGAGGGCAACAGGGGTAGGAATACCATCACAGTGATCAAGAAAGGTCTAAGGTGTGAACAAATGTAGGTGTATCCTAACCTCCTTTCACCTCTATGTTCTTCCATCCAAACCTCTGACTCCCCTTTTCCAGTGTGGAGCTGACTGAGGAATAACTTTGTAATATTTCATTCTATTTTTAATTTTTATAGCCTTATAACCACCAAGGGCTACACTATTGAGCGGGTATATGGCAGCAACCCAAGCCCTAGGATTACTAGAAAAATAATTATTAAAAAAAACAATTAGGAACCAGTTTAAAATGTTCATTAACCTTGTCTTTTCTACAACGTTGCTTTATCAAATTAGTTCCCTCCAAAAAAACAGAAAATCCGTTACATACTTGCAGAGCGTAGAATGTACCTACCCTTTTATTCTACAGGTGAGGGAAAGGTCTAGAATAGTATTATTTGATTAAGGTTATATAGCTAATTAGTCACAGAGACACAACCAGGACACTACTCTAAGACCTTTCATTATATTCCACAGTCCTCAAAGAAAGAACTTGAAATACCAGACTCCATTACTCCAGAGCATTTAGACATACCTGAGGTTAAACCAACTCCTTTAAAAAAGGATGATGTATCTTACACTTTTGCCTTCACTGTAAATTCTAAGAAGGTCCAATAAAAATGCTATAAAAGGGGCCTTGAGAGGCAGAGAGTTTTTCAGTGCCTCAGTCAGACTTTTGTCTATTTGGATTTCTAACATAAAGGCAAATTAATTCAACCAAGGCATATTATGTGTAGGGGCCTAATAAGTGTCACTGGTCACAGCGGAAGGATTGGTTCTCCATGTTGTACTCTTCAGTACACGTATTACATGGAGTCAAAACTCAATCTTGATTCATAGTGACCCTGAAATAAGATATGATAGAAAAGCTTTAGAGTCAAAACAACAAGAACGGTAGCTATTTAAAAGATAGGTTTAAATATATTTCCAATAGTTAGTTAATCCATAGATGTAGAGAGTAGAACGGTGGTTACCAGAGGCTGGGGGAGAGGAAGGGGTGAACAGGGTAAGAGAAAACAGTAGTCAAGATGTATCCAGTTCCGGTTAGGACAGATAGGTTCTAGTGACCTATGTGAACGATTGCACAGCAAGATGACTATAGTTAACAGTATAATGCACTTTGTATTTCAAAATAGCTAAAATAATAGATTTTAAAGCAATGATAAGTATTTTAGGTGACAGATATGCTAATTAGCCTGATTTGATCATTCCACATTGCATACATACATTGAAACATTGCACTGTACACCATAATACATACAGCTATTGTCAGTTAAAAACCCCCAACATTTAATTATTATAATAAATAAGTTGAGGAACAAGCAGATGGTGTAATGGCTATGTCGCTGGACACCCATGTAGTTGATTGCTGTTTGAGTCCTGGACCCAGTGGCTTAAAATCATGCACACATTGGGACCAGCAGTTGGCGTAATGGCTATGTCGCTGGACTACCCTATAGTCGATCATGGTTTGAGTCCCGGACCCGGTAGCTTAAACTCACGCCGGGCACATGTGCGTGCGTGCCCAGGATCCCAGGAAGAAAATGGAGGAGAAGGGATTGCAGCGTGGCCAGCCCCCTGGGGGATGATTTCTCGCTTTCTGTCTCTCTGTCTCTGTCTTTCTTGTGAGTGCATGCACCCTATAAACCTCTCAAAAAATAAATAAATAAATGAGATGAAAAGAGGAAGCTTCACTTACCTAGCTATAAAAGAGAAATGGTAGATTTTTCACCATATTTAAGACAGTGGTACTGCACCACAATGGTCTTGGCAGCCTATCTAGAAAAGCACTTCTCTAAAGAGCATAGTAAAATAATAAAGTGAATTACACTGATAATTTCTTATAAAAATAAATATAAAATTAAATGAAAGGAAGTGGGGACTCGAACAGATATGTATACCTCAATGTGCACAGTGACGTTAATCACAATAACCAAAAGGTGTAAACAACGTAAATACCCATTGACAGGTGAAGAGCTGAACACAATGTAGGACATGAGAGCGGGCTTCAAAAGTTCGTGGAAAGCACAAATGTCAAAAGTACTCATCAATTTCCAATTTTTTTTTGTACCAATATAAATTTGTACTGTAAAACTGTGGTTTTCCATACCTTTTGAAGTCCCTTTATATACACATACAGTGGAATAGAGTGAGCCTTAAAAAGGAAGGAAATGCTAAGGAATGCTACTGCATGGATGGACGTTGAAAGCTTTATGCTAAGTGAAATTAGCCAGGCACAGATGAACGATACACAACTCCGCTTACATGAGGCATCTAAAATAGTTAAATTCAAAGATACAGAAAGTGGGATAGTGACTACTAGGAACTAGGGAGAGAAGGAATGAGAAGCTATTGTTTAATGGGTGCAGAGTTTTAGTTTAGGATGGAAAAAAAATTCTGGATATGGAGAGTGGTAATGATTACACAAAAGTGTGAATGTACTTAATGCCATTAGTAAATGGTATACTTAAAAATGGTTAAAATGGTGAATTTTATCTTATGAGTATCTTAACACAAAAAAGTCAAATGGTAACTACTGACTCATTTATGATCTCTACCTATATTCCATTTCCTTGCTTAAACAAAATACAAAACAACTTCACAAAAGCCAGTATCACTCACAACATTCAAGTTTCAAATATGTACTCGTCTTCAAACAAAACAGACTTGGGTTCATCGCCCCAAAGCCATTCATTCTGTTTATTGTTAAATAACTCATGTCCACCATGATTATAAATGTGTATTTACATCAGGCACAAACTCCATCAAACATACAGGGAGAAAAAGAGGGAGAAAATTGAACTGATGGAACTGTGAGCACAGACTGAGAAAGCAACCATCTGTTGACATTATTGTCCTTTGAATCCAAGGGACCCGAATCATGTGGTAGGGCAGGGATCTTCACCTCAGTTGTGAAGTCCTACTTTCATGTCATGGGGCACTCTGGAAGGAAGTCCTGTAATGGCCAGCTCTAAGTACTTGCAGATTTCCTACCAGGCCCACACAGGAAGTCATTCTTGTGTCTCACCTGCATAAGTTCCTGTTATGAGGCCAGGGGACTTGTGAGTCGAAATCCAGTTCCAGGGAGTGATGTCATATTGATTGAGCTATGATCCTGGTGACCTGCTTCCCAACCTGGTATTGTTGCAGCCTTTCAGCTGGGGTTTGGGTTATTAGGGGACCAAAAAGGAAAAAGGGGAGTCGAAAAACAGAAAAAGGAAAAATGCTTGCACATTTCCTTTGTTTGACTAAAGCATTTTCTGATCCCATTTAACTTGATGGGAGAACCTGGACGATAGCAGATGGAAGCTGCACAGATGCTCTTAGAGTTGGAGTGGGTGGGCTCTCACACAAAAATACGAAGAAGATTAAAACACACAGAAAACTTTGATTATTTCTGGTGGCTTCTAACTTGGAAACAGTGAGTTTTTTCTTTCTTCTTTGGATACGAAAATTTATAAAATAGATTAAACACTTTAAAAAAATTAGTAAATTTTTATAAACAATGCATAACTATAAGGGCTATGGTAGCAAGATAAGGAAATAACAAACACAAACATTTGAAGTCGTGTGAATACTCATATTCTTTCTACATAGTGTCAAGTAGATCATCTAATCTGGAAATCTCATTACTATAAGTAATAATATAGGATTGCCATTCTGTCTCATTCAGATGAGATCCTTTGGTTCTTAGTATACTATGTCAAAAAGTAAAATGAAGTCCAACATAAGAAAAAGCAACAGGAACTAGTAACATTCCAAAAGGAACAGATGGGGGGAAAAGTTCAAGTTATTAAATGAAAGAGAGATCTAAATTTTTACCATGTTTATTGTGGACATGATTTCTTAGTCCTTATCAAGTTGATACAAGTTAGGGAAATAAATACTCCCTTCCCTTTTTTGTTGCATGTGTGTTAACAGGAGTAGGAAGAACAGAATATGACAGAATAAGCAAAGGGTGCTGGAAATGGAAAGATGAGGGAAAAAAGTTGAGGTTGGAGAGACAGTGTTTATATGTGTCTCTAAATAAGCATTATCAAACAACAAGATACAAAGTTGACAATAGGGAGTGTTTCATTCTCACAGAAATAATCTGAGACCATTCATGATACATACAGCATCATGGTACAGGTTTCCTGTCAGACATTATGGGTATATTCTTTTCCCCCTCACTCTTGAAGCCCTACAGATGACACTCTTGAAGCCCTATAGATGACATTGTTCATGAAGTACTTTTAGTATATTATCCAGCAAATATTAATTTGAGCATATAAACTAATTCTGGTCAGCACAAAGCACTGTTAGCTGCCACAAAAAGGTCCTTTGTTTTCAAGTAAAACTTAATTCAGTTGGGTTTACAACGCATCTGCAACACTTACTGTAGATTAAGCTGAGATTACACCTTGGTTAAAGGTTTGTACGTAACAGTCTCTGCAAAATTAGCTAGTATCTTGTCCAGACAGTAACTGTAAATGAATTGTTCTCTCTTAGCCTTTTGGTACTTCATAAGCGAGTGTGAGGCAGAGTAGCCTCTGTGCTGGAGACGCCTGTCACAGAGATCAGAATGTATGAAGACAGCCCTGTACTGTGTTCATCTCATCAGTTCTGCCCAGTCCACTGGAGTAAAAAATGGATGCGATTTGATATCTTCGACACCAGCAACTCCAGCACCAAGACGCTCCAGAGGGTTGAACTGCAAGAGCTTTAAAAAAAAGAAAAAAAAAAAGATTCAGTGAGTAACAGAAGTCCAAATGGTGAATGAAAAGAGAAGAAAATACATGAACTAAATTCAACCTCAATTACAAACAGACTTGACAAATAGCCAACTGACAATGTTTTCTTGAAAGGAAGTTACATCTAAGACCACCGCCTCTGGGATGTTGGGGGATGTCCAAACTGAGTTTACAGCTTTTCAGCTGATTAGAAACATAGCCTTGAGTAACTCACTTTGTTTCCCTCATTCTTATACAGTATAATAGTATAGTTATACCTATTAATTCCTATTCCAAAAGAATACCATGACTTTGGGCATTACACTAAATTCTGAGAGACCCAGTTACTTCATTCAAGAATAGGAAGTTCAGAGGCATGATAACTCTTTCAACTCCTAACAAGTTGTATATGCATCAAGACTAAACTACACCTAAAGTCTAAATAAGCGACCTCATATCCAAAACTACTTTCACTGGACTAGGTGACTCAAATGAAATAATTTGATCCAATGAATGAAACTTGTTTTAGAGCTGAGATCCAATGATTTCAGGGATAAGAGCAATGAAGATGTTCTGCTGAGAAGTCACCCTGCTTCCACGCACTGAGTGTCTAGACAGGTCTAAGTGAAAGGTTGCCAAAATCTGAATACTATTTGGATTCTCATATTCATCAACTACCACTGCATCTGTGACACAAAGGGAAAAAAATGCAACACCAAAGAGTTTGCTGACCACATCCTCCTGTGTACCTCTGATCACTCAGATTGATCTTTTACAAACTAGGAAGAAACGAATAATCCATCAGATGACTAGAAATCACCGAAGGGGCACAGGAAATATCTGAAACCAAGAAAAAAATCTCTCCCCAAAGGAAAAAGAATAACTCCTCTTCATCCACAGATAGTTCAATGGAACTCATGGAAATGTCTGATAAAGAATTTAGAGTATTCATAGTGACAAAGCTAACAGAGATGGAAGAGAAGAGAGACAATGAACACAAGGAGAAAAAAGCCAATGAGTTCCAGGAAGTAAGGAAGTTCTTGCAAGAGCTGAAAAAGGAAATACATACCATAAAAAAGAATCAAATAGAACTGTTGGAGATGAAGGCTATAATATAGGAAGTCAAAACCTCCTTTGAAAGTATTAAAAGCAGACTAGATCATACAGAAAATTGAATCTCAGATGTAGAAGACAGAATCACTGGATTAGTAAAAGCCACCACAAAGACTGAGAAAAGAACCCCCAAAAATAAGAATAATATATAAGAAATACTGGATACCATTAAACATCCAAATATCTGGATAACTGGTATCCCAGAAGGTGAACAGACTAATAAGGGCATTGACAATCTATTTCATGAAATCCTGGAAGAAAACTTCCCAAAACTAGAGAGGCATACAAAGATCCAGACCAAAGAAATATAAAGGACCACAAATAGGATCAACCCAAGAAGATGTTCTCCCAGACACATTATAGCCAGAATGACCAAAACCACAGACAAAGACAAGATACTCAGACTGGTAAGAGAGAAATGTCAAGTCACCTACAAAGGATATCCTATCAGGCTAACAGCACATGCCTCATCGGAAACAATGCAAGCAAGGAAAGAATAGGAAAATATATTCAAAGTGTTGAGTGAAAAACAATTTCAACCAAGAATACTGTATCCAGCAAGATTATCCTTCATATGGGAAGAGAAGACAAGAACATTCTCAGATAAACAAAACCTAAAAGAATTTACCAACATCAGACCAGCTCTCCAAGAAGTTCTAAAGGCAGTGCTATCCAAGGAAAACTTAAGTGAGACACACAGAAATAAGACTTCTAAAACAGCTAAGAAAATGGCCAGTTTAATGGTAGGGACAAGTTCAGAGTTGAACATTATCTTCCAGAATTTAAACGGAAAGATCGGACCACAATAGAAGATAAAGTAAAGGAGTTTGAACTGGTGAAATAGAATTTTATGACTTTGGACTAAAGCATTACTGATCTTCTATGCTTTGTTTTCTGGTGTTAAAAGAGTTTCATCTTCTCTTGAGTTGTGGACAGGTTCATGTACATACTATTCAAACAGAATCCTAACCTGTTTCCTGGCTTTAAGTATTAAGAAAAGTTCTCTTAACATTTTTTGATTTTTATTTATTAAAGCTAAAACTGCCTTTCTTGAAATTAAAAAAATGTATTTAAAAAAAAATACCTACTTAATGGGACCAACAGTTGTCATAATAGCTATGTTGCTGGACTCCCATGTAGTCTACTGCAGTTCAAGTCCTGGGCCCAGTGGCTTAAACTCATACCAGGCGCATGTGTGTGCATGCCCAAGATCCCGGCAGTAGAATGGAGGAGAAGGGATTGCGGCGTGGCCATCCCCCCAGGGGGTGATTTCTTGCTTTCTGTCTCTCTGTCTCTCTGTCTCTGTCTTTCTGGTGAGCACGCATGCCCTATAGCAAAAAACCTCTCCAAAAACAACAACAACACAAAAACCTATTTAGTGACCACAGTAAGCTATATAACCTCGGCTATATCTATTTTATAATATATTCATTCTGCCCAGAGTTTCATGCCTAAAGTCAACTTTCATTCACAGATAGGATATATATCAGCTGAACTTACTATTGAAAATATTTAGCTGAAATATGTTGTGAATCAATACAATGTGGGAAAGAATAAAAGAATGGAAAGCAACTGCAGATACCAGAGACAAAGAGGAAAGAGTATGGGAAATGGCAGAGGGTAAAAAATAGGGGGAAAATATGTATGTATATACAAGAAATGAAAAAGGGAAAATTATTTGTTGACAATAACATGTATGATTAAGCCACTTTACAGTGTATTCTGGCTGGAAAATCGCATTTTGTATGTTGTGATGTTCAGTGAAAGTAAGTAAAATAAATAAATTAATATAAAAAAAGAAACTTGTTTTAACTTCTCCAGAAATAGGAATCATGTATAAAATAAATTAATAATGTTATATGCAACAGGATTATTAGTAGTGTGGAAAAATACTGGGTCACCAGAAAAGTCATGACATATTTTTGCTTAGTAGTCTAAGTCTACCCCCCTCAGAAGTAGTCACATACAATTACGTGGGGATTCTGGACATGCTACTATAGACTCTAGCGTGCTAGAAAAATATGCCTTGATGGGAACCAGCAGTTAGCATAATGGCTATGTCGCTGTACTCCCACGTAGTCGACCACGGTTCACGTCCCAGACCCGGTGGCTTATAACTCACGCTGGGCGCGTGTGCGCGTGTGCCCAAGATCCCGAGAGGAGAATGGAGGAGAAGGGATTGTGGCGTGATCATCCCCCCTGGGGGGTGATTTCTCGCTTTCTGTCTCTATGTCTCTCTCTGTCTGTCTGGCGAGCACATGTGCCCTATAGCGAAAACCTCTCTAAAAAAAAAAATATGCCTTGAAACATCCATGTATCCTCAAATTTTTGTTTTAACAGCTTTACTGAGAGATAATTCATATTGATAGCATAAAATTCAACTATTGTAGCTATATAACTCGATAATTTTTAGAAAATTTTGAGTTATTGCAATCACCACCACAATCCAGTTTTGGAACACGATGATCACTCTAAAAAGCTTTCTTATAACATTTTTGCAGTTAATCCCCACTCCTATCTCTAGCCCCAGGCAACCACTGATTTGCTTTCAGTCTCTATAAATTTGCCCTTTCTGGATATTTCATGTAAATGGAATCATAATATGTGCGGTCTTCCACAGCTGCCTTCTTATAATAAATATACATTCTGGAGACTCATCTAGGTTGTAACTGGTATCAACAACCTGTTTCTTTTCATTCCTGAGTATTACTCCACTATTTAGATATGCCACATTTTGTTAATTCACTCACCAGTTAATGGAAATGTGGACTTTCCATTCCTTAATGCTAATAAATACTACTATTAACATTTATGTATATGCCTTTGGGAGGACATACACTTCTATTTCTCTTGAGTATGTTCCTGGGACTTGTATTCAAAAATTTCTTTCCTTTGATCTTTCAACAACTTGACTATGATATCTAAATGTCATTCCTCTTATTTTCCTATTTAGGGTTTATTGATTTTATTTATTTGTTTGTTTGTTTAGGGTTTTGCCATAGGGCACCTGTGCTCACTGGAACTAGAGAGAGAAGGAAAATGAAAAATCACCTCCCAGGGATGAAAGTGTCCTCTTCCATTCTCCTCTCAGGATTTTGGGCACACATATACACACACTGGCATGATTTTCAAGCCCCTAGTCCGAAACTTGAACTGCAGTTGGTCATGTGAGAATCCAGCACCTTAACCATCATGCCACCTGCTGGCTTTCTATTTGTTTTTTAAGATACAATGTCTCCTTGCTAAAAATGCCTACTTGATGATTCATTGTTGCCATATTTTCCTTTAATTCTTTCTTTAAACAAGATTACTTTCAAAAATATTTATAATAGCTGCTTTGATGTCTTTGTTAAATCCAAAATCTAGGAAACTTGGGGACAATTTTTACTCATTTCATTTTTTTCCTGAGTATGGGTCATACATTTTTGTTTTTGTATATATCCTGTATTTCATTTCACTGAAAATGGGCCATTACTGACAGTATATTTTCTAATACTGGAGTCTGATTTTTTTTCCCAGAAAGATTATCTCTGTTGTTGGTTTATTTGTTGTTTGTTAAGTTATTTCAGATAGATCTGCTAAGCCACTTCCCCACTACACTGTAACATACAGCTCCTAATAGCTCTGCTTTTTTCCTTCATTTTTGAGTGACTATATAAAATACTAGACAATAACAGACATTTACCTGAGGCAAGAGACTTATAAAAGACTGACAGATGTTAATCTTTTTACCTTATTTATATTTCATTTTATAAAACTAAGACGCTTTGATTCCTTGAGATTACCCTTATGAGAGCATAGCTTACTGGTCAACCAATGATTGAACAGAGGTTCAAATATCTCAGCCATTAAAGTGTCTATCTTCTGCCAAGAGACA